TTTATTTTTATTATTTTTTTTTATTTTTTTAAAATGTTTAATTTTAATTGTAAGCTTTGATTTTTTTAAGTACCAGTCATGGAGATTGACAGGAAAAATAGCCTATAAAAAGCAACAAAACCGTTTACAATTACTCATCTGTTGAGTTCATTTATAGATCTTCGTCATTTAAGACTTCTCAAGAATATAAATATCGCTTATTAATGTTTTGAGTCAGCTGTGGTTACGTGATAAAATTCTTACATACAGAATGTGGGATAAAATGAGTATCGCTTCTAAAATAGAAATTTAATTTAAAACATTTTTATCGAAGTGAAATTAATTCTTTCGAAGTTACTAATATTCAGTACAAACTGAAGGCCTACTCAAATGATAGAAAGGTATTATTTCGAAGCTTTAATAAATTTTTTTTCGATTTTTTTTGCCGAAAGATATTTTTTCAAAGCTTTATTTACTGTAATTATTTTTTTTTTTTTTAATGTTTTGCCGAAATTTAGCAATATTTTATGCATAATTAGGTCACAATTAATCCACCGTGCAAATTTAAACTCATAAATTCACTAACTTTCAACACAGCGTCAAAAATTGACAAACAGTTAATAAATATACACGCGAATATGCCGCTTAAAGCGGAAATAGGAAGCGGAATAGCATCGTCTAAATACTTTTGCTGGCAACAAATATGTTTAAATATAGATCACGCAAGCAAAATAACAATAAAAAAATTTAAAAACTGTAATAAATAGTTTTTCAACATCGGTGCCCCGCACGGAACTGCCACTTTGCAATATTTTTCTATTTTTCGCTCATTTGGTTTGCTCTCAGGTATGTTGTTAATAAGAAAAATGTAGCCAATATACACACAGCACAGCATATATATTAATTCACATCATTAATGCATGTTTCTACGCGCATAATTATGTATTCAACAACATTGTTTATAATGCCAAACACTCACATATCGAAGATACACACACATGTGCACATATTTCTGCATGCAGTTTGGCATTATCACAGCTACTGAAGAGGCGAATATGCGAGCAAAATGTAAAAATCGTTAATCACATTATAATTTATAGAAAAAAAAGTAAAAGCAAGAAAAAATGTTTTCTTTGAACGTGACGAAGCTATTATACCCTACACAAATACAAATGTTCCCCCACAAGTATTTGAATTTGAGTGAGCAGTTTGTATGCCAGCTATATGCTATGGTAGACCAATTCGAGCAGTTTTTTTAAGGAATTGTAGCGTTGTCTTACAAAATAAGCTGTGGCAAATTTCGTGTAGATAACTTGCCAAACAAAAAAGTTTTTCATACAAGGACTGAATTTTGAGCAATCAGTTTGTATGACAGCTATATGCTATATTGGTCCGATTTGAATAATTTATTGGAATATTATAGCATTTCTTTGTACAAAAGTATACGTCCAATTTCGTGAAGATATCTTGTCAAATAAAACCGTATTCCATACAAGCGTTTGATGTTGATCAGTCAGTTTGTATGGCAGATATAAGCTATAGTTATCCGAGCTCTATAATTTCTTTGGAGATTTTATATATACCTTAAAAAATAGAGCTTGTCAAATTTCGTGAAGATATCTTAACAAATAAACAGCTTTCCATACAAGAATTTAATTTTGAGCAGTCAGTTTGTATGAAAATTTTTTTTGGAGGTTGTGTCTCTGCCCTAAAAAATAACCTTTGCCAATTTTCGTGAAGATATATTAACAAATAAAAAAGTCTTCCCTACAAGGATTTAATTTTGAGTGGTCGGTTTGTATGACAGATATATGCTATAGCGATCCGATACCAAAGATTTCGACCAATAAGCAGTTACTTGAAGAAAAAAGTACGTGTGCAAAAGCTCAGAGCGATAACTCAAAAATGTACTATTAAAACTTCACTTCTCTGTTCAGGGTATAATAAATGAAAGATACTCTATTTATCATTATTAGTTATCAATTAACTATAAAATCCGCTAAAAAGCGTAAAATTAATACGAAAGGGCGTTATAACGGCATTCAAATGAAAAATGAGAAAAGTGTTGAAAATTTGCAAATTAGCCTCCGGGTTAACAAGCAGAGCAGCTGTAAAATGAAGTAATTCCCAGCGGCATACAAAAGTATGTTAGTAATGTACCTATTTACAAGTATGTATGTAAATAATTTTCGCTACAACACTAACCGTTATTTGGCATGCAGATACTTACTGTGCTATTTTATTTTTGGGCTTGGTCTCTAAACTTGCTGTACATGGCAAACATTCTCCCTACTGGAATATGAGCCCTTTGCTTAGGCGCCGCCGTAAGCTTTCCAATAAAGCAGCAGTATACGTTGCTAGCCGCCTACAAATTCGGACATTGAAGTTTCACTTTTTTTGGGACCAGCAAGGTACACTTGCCACACACTTGTATGCGTTTTTGTTTGAGCAGACTGTATGTATGTATATATGCGTTATCCTTCAAACTCTTCACATACAAACACACACTCTAAATATGTATATAAACACTTGTATATCGCTTGCTGTTTGGCACGTGAGCTTTTCACTTTCTTTGCGGCCGACGGACACCACCTTTTCGTAACTTAGCTGGACTTAGAAGTACACTACAAACACACAAAGAAAACACTGTAAACAATACCAACTCTTTATATTTTTTATTTTTATTTTTTCGGCTCGGTTTTATTGATTTTTGCAGGCGCAATGCAAATGTTTTTGTTTTTGCTGCACAAATTGATTTGTACTGCTTGACTTGCAGCGCTCATAAGGCAGAAATCACAAATATAAAACCACCCTGCTTCACTTATACAAATGCATGTGTGTGTGGGGGTGTGTTATCAAGTGTAAGAGTATCCTTGGATACCAAAAAACAGCGACTCCACCACAAAACACGAAGCCGCCGCAATTGCACCTGTTTTTCAATTAAAAACAACAACAACAACAGCAGTTGACGCTTGTGAATGACAAACGGCCACAACAACACAAACAACAACAAGCTGTTTGATAATTATAATAAGCAGCACAAGTGCAGTTTGCCTTTGACATCGAATGTCAATTGCAGATATCAAGCGCTTTTACACACTCACACACACACACACATTTCTACATATGTAAGATTTGCAACGACTCAGGGCCAGCTATGCACAGGTACTTAAGGTCGTCAATTGTGGCAACTGAAGGCTCTGTGTCACTTGCCAACGTCACTGACTTTGTGTTTGTTGTTATTGTCGCATTGATTGCTATGACTGCAGCTGATAGCTGCTGCCTTCAGCGTATTTCTGTCGTCTTGCCTGACTATTTGCAACCCCTAATGGGCACTAAACTGCTTTTACGCATTTCATTCTTTACATTTGAGCATTTTTTGCTTCTTTTTATACTTCTACAACTTTAGTTTTATTTAAAATTATTACACAAAATTCTATTTTTCCACAAACTTCGCTCGCTTCCTTATGTACACACACTGAATTTTTGCTGGGCACAGGTGTTTTTGTTATTGTTGTTACTTCGTGCATTTAGCCGAATGTTTATGTTTGTATGCCCGCGCTTTTCCACTTCCGTTCATTCGTAGCCAATCGGACACATGCATATCCGCGTTCGAACGACCAACCGACTTCAATACGCGCTGTTCAATGAATGCTGGCTGGCGCTTGGCAGCTCTTCGTGTTTGTTTGAGAAATGTTTTCAGTGCGCATTCGCTCTTTTCATCGATTTTTGTCAGTTGGGAGTTTCGGTAATGCCAACTGGCAATGCCGCGTAGAGCAGGGTTGCCAATGTCTTAAGAAAAAAAATTAGCCGGAAGCGAAGCAAATGAGAGCGCTTTTCATGTACTGATTTTGATTGAAGTTTATTTCAGTTACCCGTCGAAATTTTCGAGAGAGAGAGAGAGGGTATTCTGAAAATATATTTATGTTAAAAATATAAAAGTATGGAATTATTTAATAATTTTTAGACATGTTAGATTGAAAGGTTTCACTGATAGCATTAACTATGATATAAAACGGGTGGTCTTAAAATTCTTAGAGCCGTTTTCGCAATGTCCGGTTAACAACCTTCTGCCAGTTAAGTTAACTCAACCAAGACTCCTTCCTTCGGGTAAATTAAGCAAAACAATGAGAAAACGACCCTTAATATTTTAAGAAGATGACTAGTGTGAAATCTCAAAAATGTCTCTTTTTTATATTTTGTGCTTATTCGGTAATTATGTATATCCTAATATTTAATTTCTTAACCCCAAAAATCCCCTTAAAAATTATTATGGATTTCAATAATTATTATAGCTGTCATTAAGCCCGAAACACTCCGGTTTAAATGTGAGTTATCAACGGAGTTATTTTCACTAACTCTTGAATTAAACCGGATTAACGCTGCCGTCTGTTAATGCTATAACTCTTTAAATTTTTTAGTAATAAATGGGAGTTAGCAACGGAGTTATTTCACTAACTCCTGAATTAACCGCATTAACTGCCTGCAGATACAATATAGCCTTAACAGACGGCAGACAGGGATTAATTGCATTAATCTAGATTAATACTGCCGTCTAACAAGACTATAATGCACCTGCAGGCAATTCCAGAGACAACATCTAGATAGACAGCCAAGCAGCAATCAAGGCTATAACCTCGTTACGCATATCGACCTTGGAAGAGCACAGCAGTAGAAAGTGGTGCCATAAGTAAGCAACTTCTTTTCTACTCTGTGCCAGACAATAAAGACATTTAGAGCAATGAAATATTGGACCCATGCATTGTCTATACCACGATCTGGACAGCATGATAAAGAAAATCAAAACCCGTTGGAGCGAGTTACTAGGGTACAAAACTGCAAAAGTCATGCGCAAAACGGTAGATCGGAAGTACACAAAATCTTATTAGCACTCGATAGAATAGACTGTAAGACCATGATCGGAATACTAATAGGTCACTCTTGTACATCATCATCATCATCATCTCTTGTACATTTGTGCCGCATTGCCAAGACTACGCTGTAAGCATTTGGGTCCCCATATGATACGCTGGCGGAGGTATAGATAGTGAGGCTGCAGAGTCTGTTAACAATATCGTTAAGTGCAGGCATCCTAGAAGGTGACTACACCTCATGGACTTAGTAACTGAACTCCATCCAGTTTGCGTGGCTCAAGAATGAAAAATTCATAAAAATTGGAAATAGAAATTTCAGTTATGTAAGTTTTGAAAATTATTTAATGTCGGCTTATCATGACAAATCGCGTTAAATACTTATTCCATCAAGTGAGTGCATCAAAGTAAAAGAGTATTTTAAGAGAGAATTGTTTGGTTCACCTTTCATCGGAATAATGCAATATCGAAAATTGTTCTCTGGTCGAGATTTACCAATTGTGCAACATGTCATAATTATGCTAAAGGCAACACTACAAAACTTTGATTTGGCAGCACTGCTCCAAACGTCAAATCCAATTTGTAAATAAACAAATAAGAGCAAGTTGAGTCGGTGCATTTTCTTATCAATTATTTACAAAAATAATGCAACAGACGTGAAATCATCTCAAAAATGCAAGTTAGCACTAATGATTATTATGAGGACAATGGCAGAGAGGGACAAATACGCTGCATTTTTCTCAGCGAGTTCCATGCGACTGCAGGCTGCAAAATTAGCTGCCAAGTGAGTTTCCAATAGCAGTTCCATTTATTATATAAAATATTTATGCCATATGTTGAAATGTTTAACTTGAGGTACCAGCCGATTATGTAAGCAAGGAAGTGTTTGATGCCATAAATGTTTATATCATACCCAAGCCGCATCTACAACGTTGCATACTCACAGTGAATGCGTTGGATATAAAAGTCGTCGGCTATCCAGTGGGCATTGAGAATCAACAGAAGTACGCACGTAATGCATTCCTATTTAATTTGTGTTTTGTTTGTGATTCATGGGCACGTTCGGTGCAGTATGAGCCGGTAGTCAAGAAATTGTCGGAGTATTTGGTAAATTTAACAAATATTAACTAGAATAAGCTCTTGAAATATAATATTATTTTAACTACTGTTTTAGATAATGATGGAAGAAGAGTCATGCTTTCTATCGAAAGAGGGCGACCATAAGCTGAAATTACAAAAAATCTTTGAAACTGTAATCAAGGATTTGAATGAGAAAAAAGTTACTACTATTGTTGGTTAGTAAATTTGTTGTTTATGAATTTTCTAACACTTTTACTTTACATTTAATACTTACAGAGGGCGACACTACTATTTACTTAAAAATTGTTATACATAAACCTGATCCACCGGTTGTTAAAGATCACATGGTGCCTTTACTGTTGCTTGACTTTAAAAATACGCCTTTAGACAAGTGGGATTTGACTACGCAACAGGTAATTAGCTAATAATTTAGTATGCCAAAACAGACGCTACCATACACCATACTCATTCCAGATTTTTCCTTATATTAATGGCATTAATCATATTGCGCGCATTGCTGCCGAGGCAGACGTCGAAACCAATCTCGTAAAGTCGTGCATACAGAATTTAGCCTACTATGGTGTTGTACATCTACTGCCCATACTTAAATATAGCAACGTGTACATGTGCACACAACACTTGAAAAGTTTAATCAAGTTGCCCTCACTGAGCCAAGCATGTCGCAAATATGTCGCCTTAAATTCCGATAAGACTCATCCATCTATACAGAAAGTCTTCCAATTTTATGCTTCCATGACGCACGGTGTGACGCTGCGTGCGATTTGTCAGCGTTTATGCCCACAAAACTACAATATTGATGAACGAAAATTGGTTATATTCGGTTTGCAGCATAAATTCATACGCTGCATTCACAAATATCCCGTCTTTACGGGTTCTGTACCCTCCGGCAGGCAAAAAATTTATACTGGGCTTTCTAGTTTTGATGAGATTTGCTGTAAAACCGGTCTATCGCCGTTGGATATAGAAAGAGATATCGATAAGGATACAAATGTAACGGTGATATGGAAATAAACGGTTTAGAATTTGTCATTAATAAATATGTAATGTACTAAAACTGATTATTTCTTTGTTTTTGGGTTCCTCACAAACAAACATATGGGTTAATAAGCTTTCCATATGGAAGATAATTGTTATAGAAAAGAGAAATAACAGAGATATAAAATAAACGAGTACATCAAATATCCTGAACCGAGAGTTTTGTTTAAGTTTCTCGTATTTCACCATATTTGGGTTCAGTATTTTATGGTCAATCCATCAACCCTCATTAGGACGGTAAGGATTAACCAAATTGTCGTCGACGTCATTCAACGGAAGGCCCACGAAACGTACACTGTTTCGACGGGGTCGAACCAAAGGAAGTGGGGTTGGTGGGGGCATACAAAGATGTGGCCGGTATCATGCGAAGACTCATTACACGCAGGACATATATTGTTTATGTCGGGATCTATTCTGGATAAGTAGGAGCTTAACCTGCTACAGTATCCAGAATGAAGCTGCGAAAAGGTCAATCTCTTTTCTAGCGGCAACTCGAGCTCTTCGTCTGCAATGAGTGGTGGTTTGACTTCAAGTACGTCATTTACTGCAAGTGATAGTGCTAGTTGTGGAATTATCTCTTGATGCTGTTGTTTTTTTTAATGGTTTCTCCTCTTGATGCTCCTAGGAGTCGGTTAAGCTCCAAGCTACATAGTGACTGTAAGGGTGATTTCTGTGAAGGCACCCCAGCAGGAGCTCATTATGCTTCTTAACTGGGAGCATACGGGCCTCACTATGAAGGTGTTCGAGAGGAGACATCAAGATGTATTCTGTCGTAGTCCGGAATTCAGTATGCTGAGAAGTTTGCCGGTTAGCGATTTGCGGATTTTGTTGCCGGTCTGTACTTTGGCAATAATCTCGGTCATTTGAGCAGTGAAGGAACATAGACTGTCAAAAGTCACACCTACAATTTTAGAATTATCGACAATTTGAAACTTGACCCCATCAACTGCAATATTAGGGAAGTCTGTACTCAGTCGCCTAGTTTGAAAATATGGTCGCTGTGGATTTATTGGGTCAGAGTGTTAAGTTCCGTGCAGAAGGGTAGTGAGACAGTTTTATATTTTCCGACTAAGTTAGATTTGAGTAGTCGTTCAACAACTAAAAACAACGGTGAATATTAGAATTTTAGTTAGTTGAATATGATTTTTTACAAAAAATTTTTAAAATCGGTCTATATCCTCCTTTGATTCCCTTTATGGTTGCTAACAAGCCTAATAATGCATACATTCCACTCGCTTTCTTATTTTTCATGGCAAAACACTCATGCACATTTCCCCCTTTTGAGTGAAAATCGCCACGCTTACAGTCAAAGAAGCAACACTGCGACTTGAGTGAATTGTATGGCGATTCACATAGAAAACGCTTGCGATTGGAATTGTCTGCTAGTAAACATATTTGTGGTGGCAGATCGTGCGGTACGTGTGATTCGGGCGCGGAAAAATTTCTGCCGGCTTAAGAGGACTACTCAATTTTGTATCTACATAAATACACATCCATATGTATATGTATGTATGTATATAGCTGTGTGCAAAAACAACAAATGCATGTGCATAAAAATTGTGTCGGAAATCAGAAACCAACAAGAAGTGAAGTGAACTTCGGAAAGCAGTGAATTAGAAATGCATTATGTGAATTGTATTTGATGGATACGCTTTGCTTTTGT